ATGGGTGAGGAACTTTGGGGAAGTTGGGACTTTTTTTGAAGCGATAGGAGAATTGACTGAGGTATTCAAGATCACCTTCAAAAAAACAAAATACCGCGGTCGCTGGAAATCTGAAATTTAAAAAGAAACACAAAGTGCTTGAGAAGCTCAGCACCTCTGGCAGCATTGTGGAGAGGGAAACAGAGTTAACATTTTGAGTCTGGTTTGAGTCCTTTTTGAACTGAAGGTGGGTTTTATGTTGCAGCAAGAGGTGGGGATGAGCAATTGAAACAGTCAGGATTGCCAGGGTAAGGTTAAAGGCCAGGGTGATTCGGGCTCACAGGTGACATGGTATAAAAGGCATAAAGAGTGGTGAAATCATAAGGGGGTCTGGACAGTGTCGATATGGAGAAACTGGTAGAAGGATTGACAGCTGGGGATTTGCAAATGGGTGATTGCTCCTGGAGAGCCAGTGCTTGGCAGGATAGGCTGAATGGCTTGCTCCTGTGGTATAGCATTTCTATGATGTGGGCCTGACTTCCACCCATTTGGGGAGGGTGCGATTCTGCCAAATAGCAGCACGTGGACCTGTCTGGTGGGAGCTCATGGATTCAAACCAGCCCTCACTATCTGTGTGTCACAAGGAGTTGCTGGAGGCTCTCCTGTTTACAGAGCTGACTAACAACTCCACCACGGGCAGGGGGCTTGCATACCTGGCCCCAAGGGATCGTACAGTGGCCCAGTGAGTTCCACCTGACTGCGCTCTTAGCACAGAATCACCAGAACAGTGATGGGAAGTTGAAGGAGCGGGTTATCGGGCAGGCACGCTGTGTAGTCTGAGGGTTAGTGTCGCACTGGGAGTTAGGGTCATAGAAACTTGAAGTTATTGAAAACACTCATCAAGCCACTCAGCCAATCAAAGCCCTCTTTCAATCCAGATTCCCTGAGGAGGGTCTAGCATGCAGCGTGCTTACAAAAGTTGTAGCATGTAGAAAATTGGATGTGATTGATGATATCCTGAAGACAGGAAACTCTGCAACTGAGAGAGTGTCAATGTTTACACTCGCCTTGTGGCTTAAGGCACACTTTGAACCCTAGGCTGTGTTTAGCAGCACTGTCTTACTGCAAATGGTACAGAGCCTTGGTGAGAGCAGTTTTGGTCTCCTTGCCTGAGGAAGGATGTTCTGGCTGTGGAGGGAGGGCAACAAAGGTTTACTGACAATAATTGTTGGGATGGCAAGACTGAAGTGTGAAGCAAGACTAGATCAATTAGGACTATATTCAGTGAAGTTTAGAAAAATCACGTAGAAATAGAGCCAGACACAGTAAAGTCAGGATGTTCCTGATGACTGGGGAGTCCAGAACCAGGGAATCACAGTCTAAGGACACAGAGTAGGCTCTCTAGGACTGAGATGAGGTGAAACTTTTTCATCAAATGTGGTAAGGCTGTGGAATTCTGTATGACAGGAAGCAGTTGAGGCCAAAACATTGAATGTCTTCAAGAAGGTGTTAGATATAGTTCTTAAGGCTAAAGGGGTCAAAGGGTATGGGGACAAAGTGGGTACAGGATACTGAGTTGGATGATTAGCCATCTCCCCATCCCCCCACATCCTCTTCCCCGCTCCCCCCGTCCCCCCGTCCCCTCCCCCCAACCCTTCTTCCCCTCCCCCAGCGATAGCCTCGTTCTCCCTTCCTACCCTGGATTACTCCCCACTGCACTGCCTCCCCACAGCCTCTTTCCTCATTGAATAGTGAGGCAGGCTTAAAGGGCCGAATGGCCTACTGCTGCTGCTATTTTTTATGTTTCTACGTTCAGCTGCATGATTTTAGTCAGGGTGACACCAAAGGTGCTACAGTCACTGCTTTGTGCTTCAGGCAGGAGAGGGGACCCAACATCAGCCAGGAGTTATTCCTCTCACTGCTTTGCCCCAGCTGCCCAATTCCTACACCATTCCCTGATTGTAGGATCCTCCATCTGATGTTTAATGAGTATAGAATGGGATTGGTTTTCCTTTGATATTTTACCGCCGTGGTCAAGCAGATGAACGAACTGGGCTCATCAGCTCCCTTACACCATTGAGGCCTTCCCGTTCGCAACACTGCACCCTTACAACCCTGTTACAGTACCCTCCACATCCTTCATTAGGCTACTCTGATTCCCTCCTTACCTCCCACATTCTGCACCCACCTAAACAGCCCTTGGTGGGAGCCTATCTCCCGCATCTTGTCCAGACCCACGTTTCAGTCTGACCTCCAGCTGGGGCCCAGGAGGAATGTTGATACGGAAGCCTGTATGGTGGTCACTCTCTGGATAGCACAGTCTCGGGTGGTTGCGGAGGGGGAGCTGAATGGCTAGTGGGAATGTTATCAGTTGGCGTGGGTCATGTGAGTGATAGTCTCTAGCACATCAAGTGCCACGAACCCCCCCGCCAATTCTTTATGGACTGACGTCAGGGGTTGGGTGATGGGGTGGGCAGGTTATTGCAGAGATCGGGCTTAGTTTGAACAAGATATATTGGTCGTAATTACAAAGATGGGGAGCAAGATAATTATGAAAAAAAACACATCGTGGCTGGAGGATTGGACAGATGAAGTCGGAATAAATTAATTTGCAGAACAAGCAAAGGGATCAGCCTTCTGTCATGCCTGGCTGATGATTTGAAATGGACTTATAAGGGAGGATTGACTTAAAACATTTTCCTAAGAAGCAGTGTAAAGAGAGAGCCCTGTGCAAGTCTCCCCCTGTGAATGAACAGGATAGTTGTTCTTGAAGCTCTTGTCCTTTTTCCCTCCCTTTCAGTTTGATTCACCAGGATCTGACAGCGTTGTATTGGAGCAGTGTTTAATTAGTCCTCTCACACACTGTTCTCTCTGATGTGATCTGCAAACGGGGAGGGAGGGAGGAGGAACAGCACTGGTTTGAACAGACTGATCTTACTGAGAGTCACAGTGCAGCGCTGAGCCAGGAGGAGGAGGCGCCAGGTGCTCTGAAAGTGCAGTTCCTTTCCACGGATTACAAGCTGAGGTGGTGTGAGACGGTGGTCCTTTCCAGCCCTGCCCTCCTGTGTGTCAGAGAGCTGTGAGGGGGTGGGAATAGAGACGCAGACGAGGTGAGGGAAGAGGGACTGGTCCCCCTGAAGGTAGGAGTGTTCCCACAGAGGCCTGAGCATCAGTGGCCCCCAAAAACTGTCACCACGCAGGGACACCTCAAAGGACTCATTTTTGGAAGTCAGGTTCAAAGAGGTGGCTTTACAACCCTCAAACCCCTAAAAATAACTAACCCCTTAAAACCTCCTCAAACCCCTGCAAAACCTTCAAACCCTCCTCAACCCTCAAACCCCTAAAACCAACCAACCCCTTAAAACCTCCTCAAACCCCCGCAAAACCTTCAAACCCTCCTCAACCCTCAAACCCCCAAAACCAACTAACTCCTTAAAACTTCCTCAAACCCCCACAAAACCCTTAAAACTTCCTCAAACCCCCACAAAACCCTTAAAACCTCCTCAAACCTCCAAAACCACCTAAACCCGCACGACCTCCTCAAACCCCCCCAAAACCCTCAAACCCTCCTAAACCCACCTCAACCCTCAAACCCCCAAATTACCTGATCCCTCAAAATCTCCTTAAACCTTCCTCAACCCGCAAACCCCCAAAACCACCTAATCTCTGAAAACCTCCTTAAATACCCCAAACTCTCAAACCCTCCCAAAACCCACCTCAACCCCCAAAACCACCTAAACCCTCAAAACCTCCTCAAATCTCCCCAAACCCGTAAGCCCTCCTAAACCCACCTCAACCCTCAAACTCCCAAAACCACCTAAACCATCAAAATCTGCTCAAAACCTCCTCAAACCCTCAAAATCCTCTCAAACTCTCAAAATCCCCTTAAACCCTCAACCTCCTCAAACCGTCCTAAACCTTCAATCTCCTCAAACCCTCCAAACGTCAAACCCTCAAGATCTCCTCAAACCCTCCTAAACCCTCAACCTTCCCTCCAAACCCTTAATCTTCTCAAACTCCCTAAACCTCCTCAAACCCTCAATCAGTCAAACCCTTAAATCTCTGTGTACCGTCCATATTGCCTGGATTTTATTTTGTGAATGCTGGGGTGTGTGTGTATGTGTTTTTAAGCGGGAAGGAATTTCTTGAGTTTCTGAAGAGGAAGGTGTCAGGCTGTAAGTGGCAAATTCTCTCTCTCTCTTTCCCCTCCCTCTCTCTCTTTTTTCCCTGTCCCTCTCTATCTTACCCCCTCCCTCTTTATCCCCCTTCCCTCTCTCTCATTTCCCCATTTCTCTCTATCTTCCCACCTTCCCTCTCCCCCTCTCTCTCTCTTTCCCCCTCACTCTGTCTTTCCCCCTCACTCTCCCTCTCTGTCTTTCCCCCTCACTCTCTCTCTTTCCCCCTGACTCTCCCTCTCTCTCTTTCCCCCTCACTCTCTCTCTTTCCCCCTCACTCTCTTTCCCCCTCCCCTTCCCTCTCCTCCTCTCTCTCTTTCCCTCCCTTCCTCCCTCTCTCCCTTCCCCCCTCTCCCCCTCCCTCTCTCCCTTTCCCCCTCTCTCTCTCCCTTTCCCCCTCCCTCTCTCCCTCTCTTCCTCTCTGTCTCCCTCTCTCCCTTTCCCCCTCCCTCTCCCTCTCTCCCTGTGTGGAGCCGAGGTGAAGAGGGAGGGAGAGTGAAATTCCGACAGCACGTCCGAGCGTGACTGGTTTCTGAATCTACTTGTTGCAGCCAAGCCAGCTTCCCCTTTTCAAATTCCCTGTGAGCAGGCACTGGGCTCAGACACACAGGGAGACAGAGAGAGAGAGAGAGGGAGGGAGGGAAAAGGCAGGTTTGGAGTGGGGTTGGGGGGGTGGTATGTGGATAGGAAACTAGCTGTGGCCCCCCCTGGAGACCTGAGGGAAGGCAGGGTTGGGAGGGGGGGAGGGGTGTGGTTGGTGGGGGCCTGGAGAGCCACCAGAGGAGGAGGAGGGTCACCCAACCAGGCAGCTCTCTGAGCAGGACGGCTGCAAGACCACTGTCGAGTGTGTGAGAGAGATAGAGAGAGAGAGCTCGGAGCAGCCAATGTGATTGTGGAAGAAGCCACTTGGATCATCCAGAATGGGCCAAACAAGTTCCTGCACTCAGACAGGTTGGTGTGTCTTCATCCTAAACCCCCCCACCCCCCTGCCTCGCCTTCCCCCTCCCCACGGGGTAAATATCGTACTGTTCTCTCTGTCAAATCTTCACTGATTTTCCTCCTGCATTGAGTAATCCTCATCCACTATCTCCCCACCCAACAGAAGCTCTGGTTGCTGGTGCCAGCATTGCCTACTGCCGTGCCCTGTAGTGACCATTGAGCGCAGGGGTGGGGGCTTGGGGGGCAAGGCTGGGCTTCCACGTTGTAGCTCGATACCCACAGGTGGGCGCATCCCTAAGGGGGCTTCACTGGACAAGGATCAGGAGCTGCGCCCCTCAGCATTCTGTATGCCCAAGGACCGTCTTGCAGCAACTCCTAACGTCACAGCATAGTCAGAGCGTCCAGTCTGAGGGAGTGAAGAAAGGTGTGAGGGAGTAACTGGTTAATGATTGAGGAGGGGAGAGAGTCAGTGAACACATGGTTAATAGGTGAGGAGTTGTGTGAGGTAACGCAGTGGCTAAAATGGACACAGACTGGGAATAAAACCTGTGGTCCTGTTACTTGCTTTGGAGGGACAGAGGTATGCTAGCATGTGCTAAGTGGCCTGTGACAGGTAACTGTAATGAGTGAGTGACTGGAGCCTTGACGGTTCCACAGTCTGGGAAGTCATTCAGTAAAACCTGCTTGGGCTGTTTGGCGTCTTGGATCCATAACCCACACCCAGCCAAGCCTGATCCCCACTGCAGTACTGAGGGACTGCTGCTCTGTTGGATGTGTCTTCTCGCAGTTCAGAGTGAATTCACGTCCCAGTTGGGTTTCTCTGACAATCCACTCATTTAGTGCATTTGACTTTCTCGTCCTCCCTACCAATCCCCAGGTCTTTCCAAAGTTGGAATTCCCAAATTGTCGAGATAATGCTTGAACTCCCAATAGTGCAGTACCAGAATCATAAGACCTTCCACTATTTCCAGTAACATGTCACATTTATGGTACTGCGGTTAGTGTGGCAAATTTCCTGAGGTGCAACACAGAGGTTTAATCACTGAGTCACTTCAGGAGATTTTATTACTTGCGACCAAATGTTTCGTCAAAGAAGTGTGCGTTTTCAACTCTTTAATCAGGTGGAACAGCGTAGCGACCCTACCCTGGCTTAGAGCCTGGTGCATGCAGCACAGGTCAATCCTGAGACCTTCAGGAAAGACACAAAAGGACTTGCATTTATCTAGTGGTGTTATGACCTCAGGACATTGCAAAGTGCTGTACAACCAATGATGTAGTTTTCTAAACAGTTGTTTGGTAGCCAACTTGTGCACAGCAAGATCTTGCAGAAAGCAATAAAATACTTGCCAGGTTGTGTCATCGGGCTTTAGTGGTATTGGTTGAGGGGTAAATATTGACAAGATCACTGGGGGATAGCTCTCCTGCTTTTAGAAATAGTGCCATGGGATCGTTGGCATCTATTTGAGAGTTGGAGATGACCCCACTGTTCTCTGTGACTGATTTCTGCCCTGCTCTCGTGAACTTCCCCAGTGAGTGAGGGAGTGGGACCTGACCCACAGCCTCCTGTTTGGGAGGCAAGAGATTTACTCACTAAGCCACGGCTACATCAGATTACAGAAATATCATGACAGCCATAAAAGCCTCCTGGGAATAGGTAAAACAACACTCGTGGAGGTGCAGATACACACACACACACACACACACACACACACACACGCAAACACGCACACACATACCTACGCATCACATATCAAATCTGTCATATGTACGCATCATGCTTGTATATCACAAAAAGCACAACATACTCAGATGAGAGTTGCACACAGTATGCAAACATATCACACGCATACTTCACACACGCACTCAATGCATCATGCACATGTCACACATCACGCATGCACATCACCTGTTTCACACACAACACGCTCCACACATGCACCACTTGCACACAGAAAGGGTGACTGATGTGTTGTGTGGAATGCTGCTTAACCAAACAGGAAACCATCGACTGACACAGGGCACTTATAACTTGGCGAGAGTCCTGCTTGCGAAGAGTGTGTAAGAATGTGTTCAGTTGGTTTTTATTAAACAGCTGCTTTGCTCCCTGATGGAGGTCAGACGTCCAGATGCATTTGTGTTTCTCATTCGAGCAGCTCCTGTGGACGGGGAGGGAAGTGTCACAGAGTTTGGGCTTTCAGGCCACCAGCAATACCACAGCTTCTGTACGGCCCCGGAGGTCTAAGATCACCCAGTGTTCATATTTCTGACTGCTGTGTTGAACATACTTGAAAGTGCTGGCGTGAGAAAAGAAAATAATTGGAATCTTCAGAAGCAAGGAGGAGCTTGAGTTCCAGAATAAATGGACAACGTTCACAACTTCCAAATGCATGATGTTAAATCATTTGCCATATTAGCTTTCTCTAGCGAATTGACTGATGTCAGGATTTTTTTAATAGTTCACAGGATCATGGCATTACAGGCTGAGCCAGCATCCCTCATTGCCCTGGAGCAAATGGTGGTGAGCCACTTTCTACAACCACTGCATGCCCATCAAGCTGTTAGGAAGAGAGTTGCTGGATTTTGACCCATTGACACTGACGGAGCAGTGATACATTTCCAAATCAGGATTGTGTGTGACATGGGGAGGGACTTGATGGTGTTCCCATTTATTCGCTTCTAGACAATAGTGGCCGTGGGTTCGGAAGGTGCTGTAAAAGGGACATTGGTAAATTGCTGCAATGAATTGTGTACATAGTACACGCTGCTGTTAATGAGTGTCGGTGGTGGAGGGAGTGATGGCTGAAGTTGGGGTGAATATTGAGTGTTGTTGGAGCTGCACTCACCCAGGCAGGTGCAGAATATTCCACCACATTCCCTGACTTGTACCCTGCAGTTGGTGGACAGGCTTTGGAGAGTCAGGAGGTGAGTTACTCGCTGCAGGATTCCTAGCCTCTGACCTGCTCTTGAGGCCACACTAGTTACATTACTTGTCCATTTTAGTTTCTGGTCAATGGTAACGCCCAGGACGTTGATAGTGAGTGATGTAGTTGTTCGTTAGCTCGCTGAGCTCGGTGTTCTGTGGTGTTCAGACATTTTGTTATCATTCTAGGCAACATCATCACTGCAATCTCTCATCAAAGCATTGGTATTCTGCTCTGTTCCAGATTTACCTGATCCTCTGGTGTGATGGGTCTTGTTACTTCAGGGTTCTGTTGTTTTAGCAGCGGTCTGTATACTGGGTCTATTTCTATATGTTTGTTAATGGAGTCCCGTGTTGAGAACCAGGCTTCCTGTTCATGTGTTTAATGATGGTAACATTATTGAATATCAAGAGGCAGTGGTTAGGTCCTGTCTGGTTGGAGACAGTCATTCATACCACACAATACCAAGCAAAGTTACTTGCCACTTGTTATCCCAAAACTGGCTATTGTTTGGTATTGCTGCATTTGGATATGGACTGCTTCAGTATCAAAGGAATTACAAATTGTGCTGAACATAGTGCAATCATCAGTGAACATCTCATCGCCACTCTTGTCATATACCAGTGATATTAAGTCAAATGAATGCCAGTGATATACATGTGTAACAAAAAGTCTGAGATTTGTAAGAAGCTGCATTTGTAGAGCAGTTCTCCCAACCTCAAGATGTCTCAGTACACCTTGAAACCAATGTCATTTTTTTTGCAGTTGCTGCTGTGAAAGTGGGCTTTACACAGTAAGCTCCCACAAAGAAGAATGATAAATGACTAGATAATGTGTTTTATTGATATTGCTTGTGCAGACACTGTCAAACCGCTTTATCATTTTAAACACATTCATCCCATCACCCCTTAATCTGCTAAACAGGAGGGTTCATAATAATGCAACCAATCCCTGTATTTTAATCCTTTCAGCTCTATCAGGGAAGGCAATGGCCTGGTGGTATTATTGCTAGACTATTAATCCAGAAATTCCACTAATGCTCTGGGGACCCTGGGTTCGAATTCTGCCATGGCTGATGGTGGAATTTGAATTCAATAAAAAGAAGCTGGAATTAAGAATCTAATGATGACCATGAATCCAGTGTCAATTGTTGGGGATAAACCCATCTGGTTCACTCATGTCCTCTAGGGAAGGAAACTGCCATCTTTACCTGGTCTGGCCTACATGTGACTCCAGGCCCACAGCAATGTGGTTGACTCTTAACTGCCCTCTGGGCAATTAGGGATGGGCAATAAATGCTGGTCTAGCCAGAGATGCCCACATCCCTTGAGTGAATAGTAAAAAGAAAGTATTGTGTTTGTTTCACACATTTAAGTAACTTGAAGGCATCTCTGACACAAAAACGCACACTTTGTCATTGCACTGCAAGAGAATAACTTGCATTTCTGTAGCACCGTTTGCAGCTTCAGGTTATCACAAAGCACTTAGTAGCCAATGTAATACCTTTGAAAGCTTGAAAGATTCATAATGTGTAAAACACAGCTGCCAATTTATGCACAGGAAGCTCCCACGAACAGCAGTGTGGTCATTCCAAATAATCTGCCTTATTTTTGGTGATGTTGATCTTGCATTTGTAAGGCAGTTCTCCCAACCTCAGGATGTCACAGTACACTTTGCAACCACTGGCGTTTGTTTTTTAAAACAGTCATTGCTGCTGTAAGGTGTGAAAAGAGGCTTTACAGATCAGCTACCCCTCCCTACTGTCCTGGCTAACTCTGCCTAGAATTTGTGCTCAAGCCATACAATCATAGTCTCTGGATTGGGACTTTGGACTGCAGCAGGGAGTGGACTTCCTAATCAGTGCTGCCACTATCCCATGACAAGCCCTTCAGAAAATGTAGTGGAGCCTTTCTGACTGAAGCTGATTTTCCTTCTTCTGAAATCTTGTGGAACGTTACTTCACCCAGTTGACTAAGAATTCCGATTGGGGACGGGAAAGGGAGGGAGGTTAACTGAGAAAGAACACGAAACAGCACAGTTATTGTGCGATGGACAAAGGATGGGGTGTGGGGGAAGAGGAATTTGTCTTGA